CACCCTTACAGCATCAAACTTTATTGTTATTGTATTTCTTATATTTATAATCCTCTCAATTTTTTGTTTTTTTTATTTTTTTTTCATAAGTGTGGACATAATTTAAGCTGTATTATAACCGTTAATTTTATATTTCCTCTTACTATACTATATCAACAGAACATTAGATCCAATAATCTATAACATGCTAAAGTTTCCAAACTGAATCGACAATACCGTTTGAAACAAACTCACCGTTATCATTATTATTATATTTAATAATCTCAATTCGTGCTTCGAATATTTTTGACTTTATGTCGTAAATGTGGACACATTCCCCCGGTTAATTTTGTTTTAATTTTATTTATATTTTGAGTAAATCAGATGCAATATTGTGACAAACGCTGAGAATTCCATTTTGTATTATAAGTACTGTTTTTGGAATAAAGTAGATTATTATTATTATTATATAATTCAGAGTTAACACGTCGCCAAAGCATTTTCATCAGACTCTCATCAACAGTCGCCATTTGTGACTGTATGGTGAAGATCAGATGGCCATAAATTATAAGCAATAAGGCAACGAATAAACCAAGAATCCATAGCCTAATAAATATTACTGAAGGAAATGGAGATAGACTGGACGCACGCTGAGGAGAGACCAATGATTGACATCATGAGCCAAGCAGTCGAGTGGAACGCGAATGGGAAACGATGGACTGGGCCTCTGAGGGTCACCTGGAGGAGATCGTGTGGGAAAGAAATGGGCGCTTGTGAGCAGTCGTAGACCGGCATAAAATTAAAAGACAACACAGTGAAATTGATATGTATTGTCCGTGCCCTATGTTCCCCCCCCCCCCCCGGAAACCAAAGGAATAATAATAGATTCATACAACGCGTTCCCTTGATCATCTTCGTCAAAACAAAAAGAACACTGTTTGAAGTGTATAAAGTGTACACATTTTATTTCGAGGCTTTTCTTCAACTTCAGACAGCCTAAAGTATACATAATATTAAGAAAATAAGAACATACATATTTTATTCTCTTGGCAGATGTTTAGCATGAATATCTCAGTTTAAGGAGATAACAATGGGTAACCTATGATAGCATAATCAGTTACCAATAGCACAAAAAGAGGGGTTATTAACCATGAATTTGGAAGAATATTGGACAAGTTTTGTTAGTTGACCTAACGACAAAAAAGCACCAATGTAACGACCATATACAAGAAGAAAAAAAGAGATTACGAAACACTCCGAGAGTAAACATATGGGAGTGATTAGAAATCATTTATGTGAGTTAAGATCGATGGGTCAGAAGGAACCAATAGTAACAATAATAATGAGGATAGTAAAAAGAGTATCCTGAGAAAAAGAATGCATAATTATGTTATAAGTGAAACAAATTGTTACCAGGAAAAAACTGAAATTTATCGCTGTTTCTTTCTGTATACACACGAGTTTGGTTTGAGTTGCTCAATGGCGATAAATTCAGCAGACCGAAGTAAAATTCGATTTTTCTTTTTTCGACTGTATGTTCGCTGTAAAAGGCAATGCAGCTCTTTGAGTCTCAGAACTGTTATCGCACAGGTGGAATTGTAAATATATGTTTCACAGTCAGTGGCAACCAACACTTTCTTGAAAAATAAACGTTACTAACAGTACACTAAGTGAATACATTGATTAATATATCGAGTCGACAATTAATAGCACAAATATGATCAAGGGTCAGTGTCAGTATATATATATATATATATATATATATATATATTAGGGCATTGATCAACTAATCTCTAAATTACACAACGCAATGCAATCAGTAGTTGAAGACCAAAGGACCAGTAGATATTCTTTAGTACATTGCTTTATCGCACATATTCTGATTTGAATATTTTGAAAATAAAAATGACATGAGAACAGCTAATTTACTTTTTTTATGTGGAGTAGCACTCTGCGTCTCCTAACGCAGTCGTGCCTACAAGTTTCGACACATAATCAGTTGAAATTAATCAGCCACCATCTGCAGCAGTCCGTAGATATCTAGTTACTGGCGGAGATACATCTCTTACCTGCTGATTGGTTGAACTTATAGGTTACATATCCTCCTAAAAGACTGATTATAAATGACAAGGTTTAACTGTGTATTCGCTTTATCTCAGGTCTTATTTGGTGTGAGTTATAGTGGTCTCCAATGTATCTGACTGATTAATGTAGCTAGAAGAATATGCTCTGCAGACAAATTAGAGGAAGAATTTATGTTTCTCGAAAAGATGTAGAAAAACAACAGTTACCCTCAAAGGTTCATTAACACAAGTACGGAAGATGTGAAGGTTCAAATATTAAACAAATCGCAGTGGGAAAAAACGCCTGTCTTCATTCAACTTGATTTTAAAGCTGAAAATATTGCAGCAATACTCAACAGAAGATTGAGGATGTCACTAGCCAAAGTCTATCCCGCAGCTAGCTAAGTTGGTTCCCATCTATCAAACAGCATGCTCCTTGGTGCAGTCAAAAGTCGACAGATACGCTTCCAATGTTAACTTTAACTGTGTATACACATTTACGTGTATCTGCGGGAGCTGTTACGTTGGGAGAACAGGAAGAAGGACACATCTCCGATTTTCTGAACATCTAACGAAAAGCCTATGTCTCAAGGGAACAAACGCCTAAAACAGTACCATTACCACGCATCTCCTTGATACGGTCAGGATATGGAAATCACAAATTCTTTTAAAATTACCAATAGACTGGAAAACTCCATTATCGATAAAATTTCATTTTGATAAATAACACAATGTTATATAGTTATATTAACTGATGACCATGTTTCGACCACAAACTATTGCTCATAATCATATAAAGTGACTCACACAACGTTTTTACTTCATTTATATACATTAGTGGAATTGATTAGACATTTGAATAAAAATCAATATAGGATAACGTACATTCAGAAATAATAATACAAATGTTATCAATCAATTACAGTCAGATGGGAAATAAGACGAGTGTTTTTATAGTCATAATAAGTGACTTGCTAGAATGTTATGATGTGTGTGAATTGAAATAGAATTTTGAGATAATTTATTATCCTCCTCTGATTTGACTGGAGGTAATAATATCTTCCATATCTCTGGTATTTGCATTGAGTCATTTCTGTTGCATGTGTTGGGTGTAGACTCGATGAACCAGTATTCAGTAATCAGTCTGTCTCTTCACCTACCTATATTACATCTTAGAATTTTGACTCTGTCCCACCCTATTGTGTGGTTTTGTGTTAAAGCATGCAGTGCCATGTAGTGCCGAGCTTTTTCCCGAATTACTCATCTTCTCGGGGTCAACCATTCTTACCTTAGCTAAATTCTTGTGTTCCGACAATCTGATAACCCCCGCTCTACTAGTTTGACCTATATAGTTAATCTCACAGTCACACACACACAATAGGGTAGGAGAGGGTTATGATTCTAAGAAGTAATCTATGTAAGTGGAGAGAGAGACTGATTACTGAATCCTGCCTGGTTCATCGAGTCTACACCCAACACTACACATGCAACAGAAATGACTCAATGCAAATACCAGAAATATGAAAGATATCATCATCGCCAGTCAAATCAGAGTAGTGTAATAAATAATCTCAAAATCTATTTCAATTCACGCACATCACAACATTCTAACAAGTTACTTATTTTGACTATAAAAACACTCGTCTTACTTTCCATCTGATTGTAATTGATTGATAACACTCGTATTCTTATTTTTGAATGCACATTATCCTATATTGATTTTTATTCAAATATCTAGTCAATTCCAGTCATGTATATAAATGAAGTAAAAACGTTGTGTGAGTCACTTGATATGATTATGAGCAATAGTTTGTGGTCGAAACGTGGTCATCAGTTAATATTACTGTACAACACAGTGTGATTTATCACAATAAAATCTTATCTATAATTGAGTTATACTTTACCACAGTGCCCACGTTTCATACTTATATCAATTAGACCGGAAAGCTCAATTCTGCTTAAGTTTGCTAAAGCAATCTCTACCGAACGCCTGAAACCCGATTTATGTGTTCAGAAAGAGGCAGTTATCATCAGTGTTTCTTGCCCTGGTAACTGGATGTCTTTATTCTCTCTTTCATTTGATTACCTAGTCTTTGCTCTTAACCTGTCCCCTCCCCGTTTTGAAATAGCCTAACCTTGCTCGTCTCTTGTTTCTATGACTTCAGTTGAACTCACTATGTTGCTAAGTAATTTACTAGTAACTCATCACCTTGATCACCAATTGTCCTTGTTAAATAACTCCTTCACCATTGTAATCATACATTTACTTTGTTTAAACTTGAACTCCTTATGTACAAAGTATATAAACTTAATTTTCTGAAAACTGTTTAATAAGTCCAGAACCTTCTGTCATTAACTGACATCATGTACAATTTGAAAATATGTTAAAACTTTTCTATGCATAAAATGAATAATAATTCTATTTATTCTGTAAGAAGCTGATGAGAAGCCAACGAAATAAATGATGCTACCACCTTCTCATTATGCAAAAACCACTGTTGTTCTTGCTTTATTCAAATGGAATTTACTCATAATTTATAATACTCTAACTATCTTTAATATTTACCAGAATGTACGCATAGTGAATATCTCAGTTAGGTCAGTAAAACTCGACCTAGATGAACTGATATTTCCACTCTGTCTCTCTCCACAATACTGCTTCAACACTGGTTTTCTTTTGTACACCTGAAGAAAGCATCTTGTGTATTTTCCAAAAGCGAAATCCGGAGCAAGTTGAGTATGCGCCCTACTTGATTTGATGAATTAATCGCTCAACAGATTTTCTAAAAAGACAATGGAAGCTTAGCAACTGAACATCCTAGCTCAGAGAATACAAACGCATAAAAACCCCCCAAACAATGTGAGCTACTATATTTAATCCGTTTATGGGTCAATATTTATCTGCGTAATTAGGTACAATGATTATTTTGGTACTGAGTATTGGATATAATACTCTGTTCAAACATGTCTTCTTTTATCATTTATAAATATATATGGTTTACATGCAATAAAGACAACTGTACTGAAAACTCTGATATTGACTGCTTCAGCTATCACTGCCAGTGATCCTCCCTGTAAAACAGACAAAACCATAGCGTAGATTGTCACCTAGTGCATTCACTGGTTAGGTTTATTAATTAAAGAGGAAGTTCACTTAACAAATCATAGCAATTTACTTACAAAAACTTTACAACCAGAGTGAAACGCTTGATCACTAAAGGGGAAGAAATATACAATGAAAATATTCCCAGTTGTCCTTAATTTGATCTGTGCATAAGTACTATTAAAAAGGTAAAATTGCATTCCTCATATTTTAGCTCCTACAAAAATTCACTGAATGCTGACTACAGAATATACGAGGTAACACAGCTGTATGTCATTCTTAATCATTACTTTTCATCTGAGTACAAAGATTGTTATTTCTGTGAGGAATTTGGTGAAATTTCCTTTTGATTCTTCACATTTGCATGCTGGTATTAAGTGTTACTCATTTGTGGATATAAGAAGCTGGATAACACTCTAATCAATCTGCATTGCTCGTTAGACAAATCGAAGTGGTCTGTACACTGAAGGCCGAATGCTCTTATGGATATAAGGATAAAACTTGAGCGCTAGGGTAGAGTATAATTACACTATGGATAACAGTCTCTCAGTGTTAAGCAGTGATATTACTTACTGATGACCACGTTTCGAGCATAACCTATTACTGCTCATTATATCATATTAAGGCAATACTCACACAACTTTCTTGCTTCGTTTATATACATGAGTAAAAATTGATGATTAGACATTTGAATAAAATCAATAAAAGTTCAATAGACATGCGTGAAACAGAGAGGAAGACAAAGTACATTCGAAGACAATATTCGTGTTATCAATAAATTAGATATGCAGGATGAGAATTAGATGAGTGTTGTTGGTCAATCTACTAGGTAAGATGAAACATTCGGAAATAATATTAGTGTTATCAATAAAATACAGTAGGATGAGAATTAAGACGAGTGTTGTTAGTCAGTGAGAATGGGAAATAAGATGTTTTTCAAAGTAAAATGAATAACTTGTTAGAATGTGAATTGAAATTGACATTTTAACATTATTTATTATCCTCTGATTTGACTGGTGGTAATATCTTCCATGTTTCTGGTATTTGCGTTGAGTCATTCCTGTTGTATGTGTTGGGTTTGGACTCGATGAACCAGGCAGGATTCAGTAATCGATCTCTCTCTCCAATTCCATTATGGATAAGACTTTATTTTGATAATCACATAGTGTTGTACAGTAATATTCACTGATGACCACCTTTCGACCACAAACTATTGCCACTCATAATAATATCAAGTCACTCACACAACGTTTTTTCTCCTTCATTTATAAACATGACTGGAATTGACTAGATATTTGAATAAAAATCAATATAGGATAATGTACATTCAGAAATAATAATACGGCTGTTATTGGTCAATTATAACAGTAACTTGTTATGATTATGAGCAATAGTTTGTGCTCGAAACGTTGTCATCAGTTAATATTACCGTATAACACTGTGTGATTATCAAAATAAAATCTTATCCAAAATGGAGTTACGCTCTACCACAGTGCCCAAGTTTTATACTTATATATCTCTCCACCTACCGATATTACATTTTAGAATTTTGACTCTGTCCCACCCTAATGTGCCGTTGTGTGTTAATGCGTGCAATGTGGTTACTGAGTTTCTCTCTAAATTCCTTATCTTCGGGAGGTCAATCATCCTAACCTTAGCTAAATTCCTATGCTCTGATAATCTCATTGCTTACGCCTACGTACTCCAATTACTTCAAGAAAAATAATATCAGCAGAGGGGAAAATGTCAGTAAATTATGTCTAAGAGAAGAACTACATAGAATTATTATAAAACTAAAGAATATACGAAATGAAATTGAAAAACTCAAACACCAACTCAAATGTACGACAGATGATAGAGATAATGAAATTGTGATTGAAACATCCAAAAAAGGTAGAGAATCTGCAATAAGAAAAACAAAAACCACGCAAATATTAAGAAATCGGGCTGATTATTAGAAGAAAAGAACAGCACAGTAAATGAAGAAGTTGACAACAAAGTTTCATCTTCCATTGACAAAACAAGGTATGTGATCAACATCTCATTAAGAGAATTAAACTCAGGTGAGATAAAACTACTTCAAAAAGGATTAAATTTCAATGTAACCGGTGGCAAACTAAAACCAGAAGATGTCATCCATAACATAGAAGTAGCGTTAAATTCAATAGATAAGATGACAGCAGAAGAAGTTCGCCCACAGTGTGCATTAAGTCTAAAGAAACAAGAGAAAGCACAGTCAACCTTAACTAAATCGGAAAGATTAGATCTAATTAATCTAAAAAATGATAAAAACATCGTTATCACGAAAGCCGATGAAGGAAACTCTACAGTAGTTTTGGATAAATCTGATTCTGTAAAGAAAGTCACTGAACATATTGAAACGGGTCCATGTGACGAAATTAAGAAGCCTGTGGATAGAATAATAAATAAGATTAAGTAAACTACAGAGGTCACTGGGTGAATTTGAATCGTTTAATTCGATGCCTAAAACGAATAACGCTAGCAGAATATATGGTACCATAAAAATACATAAACCAGCTTACCTCACAAGACCAATAGTAGATTTCAGAAGTGCGCCTACATATGAATTATCAAAACACTTAGCTCTGACACTATGCTCCATTAGAAATCGTTCAAACTCTAGGCTAACTGATTCATATGAAATGAAAAGGAAACTAAATAACATTCAACTACAGAATGATGAAACAATGGTCGGTTTTGATATAACTAGTCTATATACCAATCAATATGGCCTTAGAAGCGATTAAAAGAGAACTAACTTCTGGTCCTGAACTCACTTATAGGACGAAGCTACTCACTGAAGAAATTATTTTAGTGTTATAACTGTAGGGGAATTAAATGAGGACGTTTTCGCCTTATTCTATCTGCGCCTGACTAATATGCCTATCTGCTTCTGGTACCTTCCGATTCAGCGAACCACGCAAATATCAAAAGACAAAAGCTGGCTGTGACTGTGTATTGTAGTACAACAACTACGACAAACTACGACGACGACAACAAATAAACTTATTTAGGAAATGGTATTTATACATTTTCACAACCAATACAGACAGCTAACAGTATTTGAAATAATTGGTCGTAATAGTCAATAGCAAAATGCGTGAGAAATGATGATATACCACTTATACGAGATTAACAGTCGTTAAGATAATTGAACAATAACAAAGTGCCTGGGAAATGATAATATAGCACATATGCGAGATTAACAGTCGTTAAAATAACTGAACAATAACAAAGTGTGTGGGATCCTATTGTTGTGCTGCTATATTTTGACTGAATTAGAGTACACGTATATCTTAGCACATCTTCGCGTTTATATTTGTGTCCTAACGTTGCGATTACTCGACATCCACAACGTAATTCAAAAGGCACTTGCGAAGGAATACGATAGTGTATTATTGCAGCAATCAAAATTCAAAAATCGAGCGAGTGCAAAAGTATCAATTGTTAACATGCAAGATTTAGAGTAATAAACAAATCAAAGTACAATTACATAGTGAAAGTATACTGCGATGATGAGTAATAAAACGGGTCACTACAATAGCCCCTCCGTAGAATGCAGGTAAATGAAGTTTACCTGTATTCGGAATGATATTGTAAATTACAAGGACAAAAAAAAAATATGAAAACCGAATTGAGGCTTTTTAGTTTTCTGAGGTTCGATTATAACTGTATATATTCGAAAATGTTAACAACTTTGAAACGAACTAAAATGTTTAGAAAGTTGTGCAAAATGTAACAATAAAAGCAGAAAAATTATCATTAGAATAATAATGAGGTTGTTATTGTAAAGAGTTACAGAATAGATTTATATCTTACATGCAGTTAACAGTACCGTAATAAGGTAGTATGGAAATGACTTGGGTAAACATTCAGTTACCTCTATTTCCATGAAAGCTGGTTGTACAAGTGGAATTGTACAAGAAGAGATGGCTGTGCCAGAGAAGAGTGCAGCAGTAGCTGCTGCTGCTGTTACGGTTGAAAGTGAACGTCCGTCAGTATGTTGTTGTTGTTGCTGGGGTGTTGTTACTCGGCGTTGAGGAGTAACTTGAATTGATGTTTGCTGAGGTTGGAGAGTAGAAGTTGGTTGATTGATAGCCATTCCAACAGAAGCAGTTGGCATAAACTGTGGTAAACCAGTGGTTTGAATCAACTGACCGTTAGGACCAACAGCCATGACTTTTAATGGAGCTCCTGGTGCCAGTGATAAACTGGGGAGTAGCATAGGAGCATGCAGCTACAGTACAAGGTTGACCACTGACAGAGACGTCAGTTACCATCATTGTTGCTTGTTGCTGATGTTGTTGGATATAAGCTTGCTGTTGAGCTGGTTGTAACTGATGAGCTTGTGCTTGAATCTGTGGTTGTTGAGGTGACTGGGTAAACTGTTGTAATTGAACAGCTGTAGGACCGGCTTGAGTAAATGGAGTTGCAGACCATTGTGAGAGTGTTTGCACACCTGTAGACAATGCTGAAGCTTGAGGACAGAGAACTGGAATTGAAGTGTTGCATAACAGCCAGCTGCTACAGCTGCTTGAGTATCAGGGTGAACTGGGATAGCAGTCGCTGTGCCGCCAGGTCCGGAGGTACTTTAAGCAGAAATATCAGTAATTATACATCCAAATGTTGTGAAGTTATAAAAGTTAATGCGATGGCAAAGATGACTTATTCCACTGTGTATACTTCGAAATGATGTAGTCCATCAATCAGCTATGTCGGGCTCGCCAATTTGTTGTGCGATGAGCAAACACAAGAATGAGTTCGGAATATCTAATAAATAAAAAAAATTAATCCAACAAGTGTAACAACGCGTCGAGGTCAAAAGTCGTCGTCGGAGTCAGCAAGTTATCGTCGGGCGCACCAATTTGTTGCTGCTATGTTTTGACTGAATTAGAGTACACGTATATCTTAGCACATCTTCGCGTTTATATTTGTGTCCTAACGTTGCGATTACTCGACATCCACAACGTAATTCAAAAGGCACTTGCGAAGGAATACGATAGTGTATTATTGCAGCAATCAAAATTCAAAAATCGAGCGAGTGCAAAAGTATCAATTGTTAACATGCAAGATTTAGAGTAATAAACAAATCAAAGTACAATTACATAGTGAAAGTATACTGCGATGATGAGTAATAAAACGGGTCACTACACTATCATTTAGGAATTCAATTATGCCT